AGACACATTTCACAAATATTTGATGCCGATTCCATCATATATTCAGTTTCTATCTTTGATAAAGACACATTTCACAAATATTTGATGACGATTCCATCATCTATTCAGTTTCTTCTTTGATAAAGACACATTTCACAAATTTGATGGCGATTCCATCATTTATTCAGTTTCTATCTTTGATAAAGACATTTCACAAATGTTCGATCATCCATCATTTATTCAGTTTCTAACTTTGATAAAGACACATTTCACAAATGTTCGATGGCGATTCCATCATTTATTCAGTTTCTATCTCTGATAAAGACACATTTCACAAATGTTCGATGGCGATTCCATCATTTATTCAGTTTCTATCTCTGATAAAGACACATTTCACAAATGTTCGATGGCGATTCCATCATTTATTCAGTTTCTATCTTTGATAAAGACACATTTCACAAATGTTCGATGGCGATTCCATCATTTATTCAGTTTCTATCTCTGATAAAGACACATTTCACAAATGTTCGATGGCGATTCCATCATTTATTCAGTTTCTATCTCTGATAAAGAGACATTTCACAAATATTTGATGACGATTCCATCATCTATTCAGTTTCTATCTTTGATAAAGACACATTTCACAAATGTTCGATGACGATTCCATCATCTATTCAGTTTCTATCTTTGTTAAAGACACATTTCACAAATATTTGATGACGATTCCATCATCTATTCAGTTTTTATCTTTGATAAAGACACATTTCACAAATATTCGATGACGATTCCATCATCTATTAAGTTTCTATCTCTTTGTTAAAGACAAATTCCATCATATATTCAGTTTCTATAGTTGATAAAGACACATTTCACAAATATTTGATGACGTTTCCATCATTTATTCAGTTTCTATCTTGATAAAGACACATTTCACAAATATTTGATGACGTCTATCATCTATTCAGTTTTTACTCTTGATAAAGACAGATTTCACAAATATTTGATGACGATTCCATCATCTATTCAGTTTCTATCTTTCATAAAGACAAATTTCAAATATTTGATGACGATTCTATCATCTATTCAGTTTCTATCTTTGATAAAGACACATTTCACAAATATTTGATGCCGATTCTATCATATATTAGTTTTTATTGTTGATAAAGACAGATTTCAGGGATATTTGATGACGATTCCATCATCTATTCAGTTTCTATAGTTGATAAAGATACATTTCACAAATATTTGATGCCGATTCTATCATATATTGAGTTTTTATTGTTGATAAAGACAGATTTCAGGGATATTTCATGCCGTTTCCATCATCAATTCAGTTTCTATAGTTGATAAAGATACATTTCACAAATATTTGATGCCGATTCTATCATATATTGAGTTTTTATTGTTGATAGAGACAGATTTCAGGGATATTTCATGACGTTTCCATCATCAATTCAGTTTCTATAGTTGATAAAGATACATTTCACAAATAATTGATGCCGAATCTTCCATATATTGGGTTTTTATTGTTGATAGAGACAGATTTCAGGGATATTTCATGACGTTTCCATCATCAATTCAGTTTCTATAGTTGATAAAGATACATTTCACAAATATTTGATGCCGAATCTATCATATATTGAGTTTTTATTGTTGATAAAGACAGATTTCAGGGATATTTCATGCCGTTTCCATCATCAATTCAGTTTCTATAGTTGATAAAGATACATTTCACAAATATTTGATGCCGATTCTATCATATATTGAGTTTTTATTGTTGATAGAGACAGATTTCAGGGATATTTCATGACGTTTCCATCATCAATTCAGTTTCTATAGTTGATAAAGATACATTTCACAAATAATTGATGCCGAATCTTCCATATATTGGGTTTTTATTGTTGATAAAGACAGATTTCACAAATATTTCATGACGTTTCCATCATCTATTCAGTTTCTATATGTGAGGAAGATTCATCTTATCAAATATTTGATGACCAATCTATCATCTTTTCAGTTTTTAACTTTGGTAAAGAAAGAATTCCACAAATGTTCGATGACGATTCTATCATCTATTAGGTTTCTATCTTTGTTAAAGACAAATTTGATAAATATTTGATGACGATTTTATCATCTATCCAGTTTCTATCTTTGATAAAGACAGATTTCACAGATATGTGATGTCGATTCTATCATTCAATCTGTACCTATCTCTTTTTAAAGATGCTTTTCCAGATATTTGATGACGATTCTGTGATCTATTCAGTTTCTATCTTTGATAAAGACATATTTAATCAGGTATTTGATGACGATTCCATCATCAATTCAGTTTCTATAGTTGATAAAGATACATTTCACAAATATTTGATGCCGAATCTATCATATATTGAGTTTTTATTGTTGATAAAGATAGATTTCACAGATATTTGATGACGGTTCTGTTATCTATTCAGTTTCTGTAAGTTAGAAAGATGAATTTTCTCAGATATTTGATGACAACTCTATCATCTATCAAATTTTCGATGACGATTCTATCATCTATTAAGTTTCTATCTTTGTTAAACACAAATTTAATAAATATTTGATGACGATTCTATCATCTATCCAGTTTCTGAATTTGATAAAGACAGATTTCACAGATATGTGATGTCGATTCTATCATTCAATCTGTACCTATCTCTTTTTAAAGATGCTTTTCCAGATATTTGATGACGATTCTGTGATCTATTCAGTTTCTATCTTTGATAAAGACACATTTCACAAATATTTGATGCCGATTCTATCATATATTGAGTTTTTATTGTATGTGATGTCGATTCTTTCATTCAATCTGTTCCTATCTGTGATAAATATGCTTTTCCAGATATTTGTTGACGAATCTATCATCTATTCAGTTTCTATCAGTAATAAATTGTTTTTCCAGATATATGATGACGATTCTATCATCTTTTCAGTTTCTATAATTGATAAAGACAGATTTCACAAATATTCGATAGCGATTCTCTCATCTATTCAGTTTCTATCTTTGATAAAGACACATTAAAAGGATATTTCATTACGATCCTATAATCTGTTCAGTTTCTGTCTGTGATATAGATGGATTTCATCAGATATTTGATGACGATTCTAAAGTCTTTTCAGTTTCTGTCTGTGGAAAAGACACATTTCACAGAATTTGATGACTATTCTATCATCTATTTAGTTTCTTTCTGTAATAAAGAAATATTTCACGAATATTCAGATTAAGATGTTCACATAGATCCAGACTAGTTTCGTTGTTTTGAGTGCTTACTTACTTCCAGATAATGCATTATTTCAGAAAACGACAATGCTTACAATTTACACTAGTTGAAACATCTATCAAACTATTGTGAAAAACATCTTCGCCTCTGAAACATTCTACCAAAGTTTTTGTAAATTCTGAAAAAACATCCTTTGTCCTTTCACGAGAGGTTTGAACATCGTCATAATTTGAAAATTTTCCTTTTTCAGGGTTACAGTCATTAAGCATTACAACTATTTTGTTATGTTACATTTTTTGTATATAACGTAAATTCGATTCACAAAGTATGAATTGTTGCATCAACAGAGCGTAAAAAATAAATATTCGTAGACGGTTTTTAAAGTGGTAATAAAGAGTGATCTTAGATGTGTTATTGCTCATTGGGAAATAGGTATTATTGTGCTTTTCTGCTATAAAAGACCAAGAATCATAACGGAATTGAAGTGTTTTCCACACAAAACAAAACACAATCAGATCGCTCATACAACACATAGATCTGGTTGATCTGTAAGAAGTAGTGGTGGCAATCATTTAATTACTTTCCACATAGTAAACACCATTGAAACTACATACTGATGTTCTGTTATAGGAACACCTTTGCTATGTTATGTAGAGATTGAAAATTAGCGATACTTAACCAACATAGCGTAATAGGTGAGAGACAAAGGTTTACAGGTATCCCGCTAAGTGAGACTGTGTATGATAGAGAGCACATAACAGCATCGGTGTGTTAATAATAAAGATATATGGTATTTGGTATTTGGATGTACACATTAAAACGCTAAAGGGTACTAAAGGAAAAGAGATAAAATAATGCCATTCGGAGGAATTTGTTGTTTCCTCCTGAATCATTCGTACTTTAGATTTGTCTCAGAATGTAATGACGTAATTACTACACCATCAATATATGACATCAACGATATCGTAGCATTTTCATCAAAAATGGTTTGCAGAAATCGCATATCTTGATTTGTTATTTGAGTATCTTGATAAAATGTATCTAAATTAGAAAAGTTTGTTGTTTTAAATGGAATTTACGCTATTTTGCAACCAAATGACTAAATCATCTACCATTCTTACTAAAGCACATTTCGTCATCCGAATCACTGTCTACAACAGCGCATTTTGACGTCGTTATTTTGATGACGTTATCTATTAATAAATAGATAACGTCATCGCTGTCTGATGGTTTTACCGCCCTATCTGAAGCGGGGGTTATTGCTGGAGTTTAGACATTAAAACGCAGGCTATTTCGGTATATGTTAAGAAATTTTCTCTGAGATACATGTTCATGGTCTCCTCTCTTATATAGAAATCTGCACATTTCAGACTCATTTTTTCTTATAAGAACTCTCACAAGAAATGAACAATGAAACACTGAAAGTCTTTCTTATTGTATTGATTTTACGTCCTCCTTGAATTTTATGGCATAATATATCCACTCTGATTATGAACAAGTGTATTCTGGTAGCTGGTAATGCTATAACAGTTACAACAATTACTGAAAATTACCATTTTCCTCGATCCATATTTTTCGCTCACCAAACCATGAATTATTTTTCAACGAGTCAGTTAGTTTCAGATGTTAATATATGCTGATATTCTGAGACAGAGTAGAATTCATGAACAAGTTTCATATCTTAAAACAAAATCCTAAACAAACTATGTACAAGCATTATTGTCTTTTCTTTTACGGAACATTTCGTTCAGGTATGTAATGTCAATAGAAAATATGACCTTATAACACAACCAGTCGAAGATTAGCGTGTGACGTTTCGACGACTAAAAGGTCACATCGGGCAGGTGATCCGTACGTAGTGTACGAGATGGAAAGGAATCGATCACTTTTTTCGGTTGTACTATAATCCTTTTTCTTTTTACACTGTAATAGTTCAGTAAATAAGTGTTTCACAAGCAATTATGTCAAAACGAATTTATTTCTAACATTCGCGTTTCGTGAAACTGATACTAAAATGTTTTTATGTGCTTAGATGAAAATTCAATTGAAAGGGATGTTATTTTATAATGTTGATACCAAGCACAGTTTCCAAAACAACGTAATACTCAGTTTTCAAATGGAAATATTCTCTCAAATTTATTGTATATAATGTATACTTATACAATTCAGTTTGCCTAAAACACACTTGTTTCTTTTCTCGGACTTTTTCGTCTTAAACGAAAATGAAAAAAAAAGAAACATCTGTATGCTTGTTCATGAAACAACTTAGAACGAAAGATCTATATTAATTGATAAATTACCAGTGACATTCTGCCAACAATATTTAATACGCTGATGATCATAAAAATAAGAAAGTTCTCATATATCTTTCATGTATATTCATATTTTCCCTTGATTATTCCATATCGCAGCTCGTAGTCACTGTTTTATCATGATCCTGTTTACCATGATATGCTGATTTTTTTCGTAATAACTACATTATCAGTTGCAGTGCCATATAACGTTACTGTGAAACATCTTTATTGTAAATAATTTTACATAATTCAAATTGTTTATTTATTAATGTAGATGTGTATAATTCATCATATCGGATTGTGAACAGCCTAAAGTACTAGTCTGTAAAGGATAATTTTTGTTAAAACCAAACAAGATATTCCTGGTCCAAAAATTATGAGCTGTCCGCTTGAAATAATGGATCAATTACTTCTTAAAAGCTTATCTCTTTTGTGTAATTTTAAACAGCATAACGACAGATTTTTTTGAAGTATTCACTGAAACATTTTGATTTGGGATCACCAAATTATTTGTAAACTGTGTCCTAGTAAACTACGGATAGGCCACGAGAGAAAGTCTTTAAAAAAAAGTAAATCATTTCCTTTTGTCTCATAAAACATTGATCACTTGCTGTCGCATTCATGAACTATTGATGTGGGAAAACTGATTGTGCGGTATGTTTTGTTCCGATAGTTACAATAAATATACGAATATTTGTAAGATCCCTTTACTGTTTCGTTTTAATGTAACAGCTCGTACATACCTAAAGAACAATAATACACATAATGCACCATTACACTATGTGTATCAAGTACGTTTAAATAACCCTATGGAATGTGTGCAGCTATGTCTGTAGTCATGACAGCACGCTTGTTTACTAGGTCACACATGTATACAGACATTACTTAACGGAAAGTAGCATGGCGTTAACAAGCCCTTTCGCCTCAGTATATTTTCATATTGATATATGAAAACTAAACACAGTCGAAATGACTTATCATACTCGTATGGTCTCTATTTTTATCCACTTCCAGCAACGTAACAAAAAGAAAATCCGAATGCAGGAAGTGAAGAAAATTATATTTCAACCAATCATAAGTTAGCTTGAAATCGGATACCACGCCAAGTCGGCAAATATAGGGACAAATTTTTGTAGTAAGTCAAATGCAGATGATCTAGAGATGTTGTTTTCTTCAGATTTTGATAATCGATTCTACAGCATATTTTGTCGATAAAAGCATTTTTTTTTCTGTATATACGTTTGATTAATAGAGAAAAAACGTGTTTAAACGTCTGTCCCCCTAAGTAATACTATTTCAAATCATCGATATATAGAGTTTGAAATTCAACATGCTTTAACATTTTTATTATCAAAGATTTTTCTTTTCTGTTTTCATGTTTACAGAGATGAAATGCAGATGAATAAAAGCCTAAATGCAATAATTTGTACAACAACGTTTTAACCATTAAAAATAATGGTAAACATTAGGGCGACAGCAAAAAAGTCGCCCCAAGTAGCGGGTCACCCTAAGTGAGGTATATATATGATTTCGTGTCCCCTTAAGTAGGAAACACGAGTATATATATATATATATATATATATAATATAGTATTTTTGACTTCTTTTAGATTTGTTTCTATATTTACCTGAAGACTCTCCATTATTCCACTGAGTCCAGAAATGTCCAAGATTTCCTCAGATTCAGAGCAACTGTTGCCAACTACACTAGTACCATTTGTATCTGCATCATCCTCTGAGATGTCTAATCCATCGCTATCCGAAGACTCATTGAACTGTTCACTAGATGTATCAGAATCTCTGTCCATCCTGATAGCACCAGCTCTACCACATCCTCTAATCCTAACTCCACCACAGCGACGCCTTCCTCTGGTTCTAACTCCACCACATCCTCCTCTGGTTCTCACCCCACCACCACATCTTCCCCCTCTAGTCCTGGCTCCATGTCCCCTTCTACAAGTGAACAAAATATAAACTGTTAACAATGACTTTTACCAAGACACACCAGTGCTACAATATCGAAAACATATAATCATAAAATCACTGCATAAGTAGTGATATGATTTAATTTATTAGCAGGTTTGGCAGATTCAAGACTACCAGAAATGTTGGAAAGAGAAAAAGATACAATTACTGACCTTCAGGAATTCTGATGTTGCAATTTTAATTCAATGAAAATTACAATAGAACTTACCTTACACCTTGTAGATCTTGAGTTATCCATCTCTCAACATACTCAGAGTTTTCACATGGATTTACTGTATCAACTGTCAAGCAAGGTTCACAAAAACAACTGAGATTTCTTGTTGCATTCTTGTTCCTCTCGACACTTTTTGCGCATTGCACTTTCCTTGTGCCAACATTGGATCTGTCAGGCCTATTTCGATCAATGTTATTTACAAGAAATAACGTTCTTTTGGAATGTTCATCATCTTTGGTAAGTTTTAGTGCATAATTGAAAAAATCCTGTGCATTGTTCACAACCACTTTCTGACCAAGGATTCCTCTCCTAACGAAGCTCTTTACAACAGCTCCTGCCCCGTCAGATGGGCCTTTCCCATGACGGGAACCATAGAAGTGTCTCTCGGTGGGAAACCTGAAATCCAGGATGCTGCAAGATAAATCGGTGAATGGTGTCTTTGACTTATACTTCGCAGAGCAGCCATCGGTCATTTGGATCTCCTTGTTGATTATGAGACCTCGTTGTTCTGTCAGATGCTGATTTGTAAGTTTAAAAAATTCCATGACAGCATGAGCATCATGTTGCTTGTCTTCTGAAACAAAAATCAATGACTCAACAACAGTTTCCTCACATCCTTCTTTTGTACATTCTACAAAGTTTTCCGCAAAATCCATGTTTAGTACGACGACACCTTTGGGAACATTCTTCCGTAACTTAGAAAATTGTTCTTGCTGCCATGATGCAATGAATAGATGTTCTGCCAATGACTCCAATTCTTGAGACAATTGTATTACAACTTGGGTACAACTTTCGCTCTTGGTCACTTCCATCATCCGTACAACTTCCTTCCCTTTGACATTTCTCTTTACCCTTTCCCATTTGGTGAATGACACCAAATCCGCCTGGCACTGTAAAGCAAGAGGCTGGTAATGAGATATGATGTTGTCGACACCACACTCTACATAATTTCTCAGGATACACTGCAGTTGATGGTAGCGTCCTTCTTTCTGACACATTGTTATCTTTACCAAATCGAACTTGTCCTTTACCTTGATTTCACATCCTTTTCTCGTTGCCAATTGATTTAATGCTTTTAATTTCAGATCCACATTAGAACATATATCACACAAACAGCCCTCCCAGTGTTGTTTCCTGGTTGACTCTACATTTCTTGGCTTGTTTCTTTAGAATGTTGACATACTGACGGAAACATCTGGGTGTTTTTCCTTAAAATCTGTAAACAAAGATGTGATAGGCTTGTCTATTACTTTTCTTTCCACATTATCTTTCTTTATCCGTTTTGCTATCGGGAGATTTGTTGACACATCTGCTCTTTGAAAAAAACCTCCGATGAGATTCTGAACCTCTTCACTGACAGCATCTTTCCTGCGTTTTCTTTGAGAATCCCTGCAGTTTGAACCTTTGCTGATTTCTGATTCACGGTTCCCAGTGTA